ATAATTGTGATTTAGCGACAAACCCGAAAAAAAATACTCACCGCCGCTCAAGAAAAAAGCCACAAACTCGTGCACACCCACCACAACACTCTCGCTTTTCGTCGATGGCAAAAAAAGTCAAAAAAAGAGCCAAACGGAGTTGCGGGTTAGTGGAAGTGTTCCGGTACACTGCTAGCCGCGGATAATATCAAAATGCAACCTCGACTGCGTGTGGGAGTGCGAACATCGTTGAAAAGACGGAATTTTAGATGAAAAACGGACGCATGCGTGTCATTGCGACGCAACACAGAGACGTCTAATCAAACGCATATGAATTTTTGATGGATGCCCGAGGCGTTCGCCGCGATTTTCGAGAAGACGTGGACTCGTAAAAGATCAAAGCGGAGCGAGGAATTTCGGATTTGGCGCGTTTAAGAGGGCATTCTTTACGGCCTGGGAATTGGAGAAAATGTTATTTGAGAGATCATGAGTCTGAGAGGGAATGGGGGCTTCCGGATCGGAGATAGGCGAAAATTGGGTTGGCGGATGAATTTTTGGGTGTCAGTGTGGTTTCGAAGTTGGTTTTTATTCGGGGGCATCATATTATTATTAGCACAAAGAATTGTGAGCAAGGAGCGTAAAAAGGGATTATATCGCTGAATTTTAAAGCTCGTTTTGCTGCGAGGTTCGACCAGGTAAAATTGATTCTCCTGGAAGGCCAACTAAATATCAGTGCTGCTATTACGTTTTCTAAGAACAATCCTAATTGCTTTTTGATAAACATTGTTATTAAACAGTGAGTGGTTACGAGAGATTAGAATTCCAAGTAAGCGTTCGTACCGAAAAAAATCGTGTCCTACTTTTGTTGTAATCTTTATTTTAATTTCTTCTACTTGGAAACACTATAACTTTGCTTACTTCATAAGCAAGAATGGTAGCAAAGTGAAGTTTTGTAATAGAGTTAATTTGACGAATATCCACTATTTTTGAGTTTATAGCTCGTAGATCACGAAAATGTAGGTTTATCGTTTGCGTTTTCCATCATGTGTCATAGTTTGCCCGCTGGAAATTTATCACACAGATAATTTCTGAAAGTGTCGCATTCGACTGAAATTATAAATGTATTCGACGTGTAACGTCAGTAAAACGCTACCTAATATTAGTACAATAGTAATCGAGTTCATCGGGCGACTTGCCCCTTTCATGTTTTTTTGACGTTTCGTGACCTCTAGAGTACGAGCATTTTTATTAAACACAAAGTTTGAGAAAATTGTGTAACAACATTTTGGAATTTAACATTAAATCAAATGTTATAATTTTTCGAAAACTCTGGTTTTATTTACCTTCAACTATTTTTTTGATCACAGTTTTTCATTTTTTCAATTTCAATTTTTTCAATCTTTCGATTTGCAATTTTTTAGTTTTACAATTTTTCATTTTTCGATTTTTCACTTTCTTAGTTTTTAATTTTTCGATTTTTCAAGTTTTTGTTCCCTCAATTTTTCAGGTTCTTGAATCCGATTTCTTTTTCAATATTTCGATTTTACAATAGATATTTCGTTTTTTCGATTTTCATTTTTTTATTTTTCAGTTTTCCAATTTTTAATTTTTCGCTTTTTCAGTTTTTCAAGTTTTTGATTTCCAATTTTACGATTTTTCAATGTTTCCCTTTTATACTTTTCCGTTTTTTCGTTTTTGATTTTGAAAATTGCAAAACCAAAAAAGTGCAAAATCGAAAAACTGCAAATCAAAAAACTCAAGAAACGAAAAATTGAACATTGAAAAACTAAAAATCCAGAAACCTAAAAATCGAAAAATTAGAAAGAAGAATAAGAGAATCGAATCGAAAAATGGGAAAACCCAAAAATTGTTAAATAAAAAAATCCAAAAAGTTTTAAAATCCAACCCGAACAATGACAAAATTCTAAAATCGTAAAATTGAAAGTGTAAAGTTTTAAAAATTACAATTACTTTACACATACGAAAAATCAGAGATTTTAAGAAATTGAACAATTAAAAAACCAAAATATCGAAATCCGAAAAGTCAAAAAATCGAAAGATCGAATGAACCATCAAAAAAATCGATAAATCTTGAATTAAAAAAAAATATGAAATATCGAAAAATTGAAAAATCCCGAAATTAAAAAATTCCCCAAAAAAATATTGAAAAACTGGGAAATCGAAAACTTCAAAATGGAGAAATTAAAAAATGAAAAAAATTTAAAAATCGAGAAAATGAAATCTAGAGAAATCGAAAAGTTGAAGTTAATTAGTTAAAAATTAAAAGATGGCTAAATCAAAACTTTCGTAAAATTGAAAAATCGAAATAGTGAAGAATTAAAAAAATGAAAAACAGAAACTGAAAAATCCCACAACTGAAATCTAGAAAATTTGGAGAATCGAAAAATCGAAGTAGAAACGTCAAATAAGCGGAATATCGATAAATCGAAACGTCGGAAAGTCGAAGCGTCGAAAAATTGAAACATCGAAACATAACAAGATCCAAAAATTGAGAAATCATACAGTCGAAAAATTGAAAACCGAAAAATCGAAATAGCGTAAAACCGGAAAATTAAAAACTGAAAAATTCATAAATTTAAAATTAACAAAAATCGAAAAGTCGAGAAGTCGAAAAATGGATAAATCGAAATAGCATAAAATGGAAAAATTAAAAACTGAAAAATTCGTAAATTTAAAATTAACAAAAATCCATAAAATCGAAAAAACTAAAAATCGGAAAATCGGAACATCGAAGCATCCAAAAATTGAAACATGGAGAAATCGAAACATCAAAAGATGGAAAAATTGAAAAGTCGAGAAGTCGAAAAATGGAGAAATCGAAATAGCGTAGAATGGAAAAATGAAAAAATCGGAAAATTGAACAATGAAAAACCCAAAACATCGAAATCTCGATAATTCCAGAAATCGAAAAATCAACAATTTAAAAATCGAAAAATTGAAAAACCAAAAATTTATAACCGAGAATTCGAGAAATGCATAGAAATATCAAAAAACTGAAAAATCTAAAATTTAAAATTTCGAAAAGTTGAAAAACTGAAAAATCGTACTACCTAAAATTTAAAAAATGGAAAAACCGAAAAATCAAAATGAAAAATCGAAAAATTGAACGATCGTAATGCTGAAAAATCCAAAAATTGAAATATCGAAAAATTGATAAATAGAAAAACGGAAAAATCCTAGTAAAATTGAAGTATGGAAAAATTGAAAAATTGAAAAATCTAAAAACTGAAAATCAAAGTCCTAAAAAATTGAAGAATTGAAAAATTGAAAAATCAAGAAATCGAGACGTCGAGCAATCGAGAAATTGGAAAATCGAAAAATCGAAAATTGAAAAAATCGGGAACTCGAAATTCTAGAAACGTCAAAAATCGATAAAATCGAAAAATCAAAAAATTGAAAAATCTAGGAATCGAAAAACCTAAAAATCGGAAAATCGAAACATCGAAGCATCCAAAAATTGAAACATGGAGAAATCGAAACATCAAAAGATGGAAATTTCGAAAAGTCGAGAAATCGAAAAATAGAGAAATCGAAATAGCATAGAATGGAAAAATTGAAAAATCGGGAAATTGAACTAAAAACTCAAAATATCGAAATCTCGATAAATCCAGAAATCGAAAAATCAAAAATCTAAAAACGAAAAAAAGCAAAAATTTATAACCGAGAAGTCGAGAGACACATAGAAACATCAAAAAACTGAAAAATCCCAAATTTAAAATTTCGAAAAGTTGAAAAACTGAAAAATCGAGATCCCTAAAATTTAAAAAATGGAAAAACCGAAAAATCGATAAATCTAAAAACTGAAAATTAAAATCCTAAAATAAAAAAATTTAAGAATTGAAAAACTGAAAAATTAAGAAATCGAGACGTCGAAGAATCGAGAAATGGGAAAATCGAAAAATCGAAGAGTCAAAAAATCGAGAATTCGAAAATCTAGAAACGCCAAAATCGGAAAATCGCAAAAATTTTAAATTAAAAAAATTGGTAAAATTGAAAAATCAAAAAAACGAAAAATCGAAAAACCTAAAAATCGGAAAATCTAACATTTTAAAAACTAAAAACTGAAAAAAACCTAAAATTTATAACCGAGAAGGCGAAACATCAGAAAACTGAAAAATCTAAAATTTAAAAATACATACGAACAATCGAAAAGCTGAAAAATCGAAATACCTAAAATTTAAAATATGGAAAAACTCGAAAAATCAATGAAAAATAGAAAAATTTAAGAATCGAAATTTTGCAAAATTGAAATATCAAAAAACTGATGAATCCAAATATCGAAAAACTGAAAAATCCTAGAAAAATTGAAGAATCGAAAAATTGAAAGATCGAAAAATCGAAAAACTGAAAATTCAAAAGCAAAAACGACGTCGAGCAATCGAAACATCGAAAAGTCGAGAAATCCAGAAATGGGAAAATCGAATAATCAAAACGTCAAAAAATTGGGAAATCAAAAATTCGAAAAATCGATTAACTGAAAACTCGAAAATCTAGAATCGCTAAAAATTGAAAAAATAAATAATCGTAAAACGGAAATATCGGAAAACTAAGAACAAAAAAAAAAAAAAAATGAAGAAATCGAGAATTATTTAAGAAAATCGAGAATTTGAAGAAACGACACTTTAAGTGCCTAAAAATGAAGTACATAATCGAAGAATATAAAATGGAGAAATTGAAAAATTGGAAAATCTAAAAATTGAAGAATCCTAAAACTGAAATATCAAAAAGCCGAACATAAAAATTCAACATGGATTCATAAACCACAAATTCATGTCAATGTTACTTTTTAACGTTAATTCGACAAAATTGTATCAATTCCTAAAATGGAGTGAACGGTTGAATTTTGATTAACGATTTACCACACTTCCGATAACCTTAAAATGTTTCCAAGATTTCAGAGCATTCTATTTTGCAATGTCAAAGTTTAGTTGTGAAATTTTGTTATACAATTTTGATTTTTTTCCAAAAAATTTGGATGTTTAGGGTAAAATCTCAATCAATGAATCAATCAAAATACATTTATTCAAGCTACAGTTACAATGGGGGCGCTTAGGGCCTTTTCAGCGGTGGACTTAATTATAATATAATATAATAAATTTTTGTTTAAATAAATATACATTGCATTCTATTATGGCTACTTGGTGTCTTCGGGTCTTCATCTTGGTCCTTGTCCTTAGTTGGTGGTTGTTGGTCCTGGTCCTGGAGGGTTGGAGAAGGCTGAAAGAGAAATTGGTGGAGTGTTCGTCGTCGGGTAGTAAAAACTCAACACGAATTCGTAAACCATGAATGGAAGAGTTATGTTATTTTATAAAATTTAAATAACATTTACTGAATTTTTTAACCACAACAATTGCTCCAGTAATTTCGGATATTATAAATCGACACAAACGGCGGACAGACAGACAGACAGACGGAAACTGTCTGGATCAGGAAAATCAGAAAAAATTAATACGGCACCACTGAATCACTGCGAATCGTTGTTTTAAATAAACATAACTCGTCCTAAATATTTTAGAGATTTTTGCGAGATTTATCATACACAACCAGAAATCAACATTTCATCCAAGTAGTGATTTAAGTTTTCAAATAAATAACACTTGTGTATAAACAAAGAAAAGCAAACACATTTAAGTCATTGTAAAGGAAATAAAAAACGAAACCATTTAAAACTACACCCGACTTACAGGATCTCCATTAATTCACAACTTTCGTTTTTAATTCCCTCCCCTTTACGCCGTAATAGCCCTCTATCACATTCAGTACCCGCCGTAATTTCAATTTCACGAACTCGCCAGCAGTATACAAAGCAATTTCTTTTAAAATCCCCCAAACAATTAATCATTCTAAATCGGAACAGCGGAATCCCATCCGGACTACGGCCTGTCAGTCAACCTGTACTTCCATCGAGGTTCGAACTGAACAGTTGGAACCAATTAATCCCGGCTGTTTTGTACGTCGAAACACGTGCCAAGTTTCAATTTCGATTGGATCCTACGTAAACTATCATACGATCAAAAAATTCTAACAACACTATCCGACCGATTCGCGTGTTGATTGGCAGGGATCAGAGTCTGGAAGTTGCTGCGGCTATTTACAGCGAGTGTTGGAGTTTTCACTAGATAGAACATTCCGTCCGTAAGATAAACGAAAAATGAAGCTTTTATATTGTGTATATTTGCCGAGATGAGATTAGTCAGGTCTGCATTTATTCGGTTCCCAGACGGTCAGGTTGTAGGTTACAGTCGTGATTATGCCTGGATTCCAAAAATGCCCTGAGACTGTTGTCAATGTAAAAAAAAAATAAGAACGAATTTTTTATCCAGCAACACTGAATCACACTCTTTCCATTTTAGTAAATCTTCTGTCTGTCGAAATGTTTGTTATCAACGTCAATATTTTGCTAATTAGCGTTTTAATTATTATCGTTGATAATTATTGTTTTATGTTTATTTGGTGCATCTAATTATAAACGTCCAGATTAAGTGTCGATGTCACAGTTGGTGTTAATCATTCGCAATGTGGTGTTTAATTATTGCAGCATTTGCCCTTTCAACCACGTTTCTAGTGCATCCAAGCACTGCAGTGAGTATCCACATCAATAAACATTTCAAAGTTTAAGTGATTTAATAATAATTTATTCACCTGTTCTGCAGTTCAGTGTTGTATCTACAACTAGTAAACCCGATGGTTCTAACGAGTTAGACCAACTTGCTTCAAAAATCGAACAAATTGAACATAACATTCAAACTTTACAAAAAGTCTCGGGAAACCAAAATCATGCAAGTGTCAAATCGCGTCTCCCGAAAAACTGTAAAGAAATTCAAACCAATGGTAATACCATTTCTGGTGTCTACACCGTCCAGCCAGAGTTTGCCCCAAAACCATTTCTGGTTCTCTGCAACATGGACAGCCACGGTGGTGGATGGACCTACTTCATGAACAGATTTAACGGCAACCAAGACTTTTTCCGACGCTGGAATGACTATAAGACTGGATTTGGCAACCTCAACGACGAGTTTTGGTTAGGGTTGGACTATTTACATTTTCTGACAGGTCGGTACTTGTAAGCTTTTCGACTGAGGGTGCTGATTTTGGAAAATTGATAGGTTACGAAGTTAATGAGTTGTTGATAGAGTTGGAGGACTGGGATTCGAAGAAAGTTTATGCTCGTTATGACGCTTTCAGCGTTGGTAGCGAAGGCGAGGGTTATTTAATGAGAATACTGGGAAAGTACAGTGGTACTGCTGGAGACTCCTTTAGCGGCCACGGCGGTATGAAATTTACCACGACAGACAAGGATAATGATCAGTGGAGAGATGGAAATTGTGCCGTTTATAGAAGTAGTTGAAGCTTCACTAAAATTAATTAATTTCATTGTATGTGGTACTGCTTTTAGGTGCTGGTTGGTGGTACAATAATTGTGTTGGAAGTCACTTAACTGGTAAATACATCAAGGAGAAAAGTACTGCAGATTCGTATACTGTGATGTTTTGGAATACATTCCGTGGACCCTATAATCTTAAAGTGGCCAAGATGATGGTAAAACCCAAATAACAACACGTAACATAACCTAATGTTATTTCCTCAAATAAAAAAAAAACTTTTGTTAGGAAAAACGTTTTTTATTCTCCCCTAGTTTACAAAAACCAATACCTTTATGGCACTCACATGATAAAATCTACATACACTGGAGTGTTTTACTGTTTTGAAATTAGAGAATCAGTTTCTATATTGTTGATAAAATATCTGTTTCGGGTTTTGCCATCATCTGTCTTATCTTGAGGTTACGAAGTTCAAGGATAATTAATTTTTACTTTTTTTTAGTATTGTAATTGAGTCCATCGGACGAATTGCCACTTTTATGTTTTCTCGACGTTTCATGACCCCTTCAGTACGAAAAAAGTAGTGTCCCGTTTGCGTCTGTCTGTCTATCTGTTAGAAATGTAATGTAGATGGTTAAATGCAAGCCACAATTTGGCTAATCATCCCCACCAACAATTTGATGACGTCATTGCAATAAACCGTATTTTAAAATGAGTTGAATGTTATACAAAAATATATTCCTATACTTGTAGTATATGAATCCGCTTTCAGTTTTTTCGCTTAACGTGCAAATTTTCGCAAAAACAATTGCACAGTATAATAACGTTATATTACTACCACGACATATATGACGAGCTCAGTGGCTCAGTGACTCAGCAGCTTACTCGGCGACCCATCGACATTGTGTCGTGGGTTCGATGCCGAACTTGACACTTTCTTTTTTTTTCTTGCACTGGAAATGCGCTGTGACAACTTTTCTTTTGTGCTGTGATTAGTATTATCTTTGTACGCTCCGCCCCTCGGTCTAACAACGAATGAAAAATTCATCACAATTGAGATCGGGGCGGGTGGGTGGGGCTTAATCTTCGTGTTTTTTTTTAATATGTAGAATTTTCTTTCAACAATAGGATATTGTCGGTTTCTTGTTGGGAAAAGGAGACTTCGTATATTAAGAAAAAATGGATAAAATATAAGCCCCACCCATCCACCCCTTGTCAATTTTGAGGAATACTTTATCCATCGTGAATCGATGAAGTGAAAAACCAAAAATTAAAAAAAAGTGTTAAAATCGAAAAATCGAGAAAATTGAAAAATGGAAATAACGAAGCACTGAAAAACCGAATAATCTGAAATTAAAAAAAAAGAAAAATTAAAACATCGAAAAATTGAAAAATCAAATATTCGAAAACCGAGAAAATAAAATCGAAAATCCACAATTTCAGCAATCGAAAAATTGAAACATGGGGACACTGAAGATTCGGAACACTGAATATGTACCTACCAGAAATTGAAAAATTCATAAATTAAAAATGAGGAAAAAATCGAGAAATCGAAAATCCAAAATTGAAGAAATCCAAGGAATGGAAACAGGAAAATTGAAAAATAGAAATATCGAAGAACTAAAAAACCGAAAAATCTAAAATCAAAAAAACTGAAAAATTAAAATATGGAAAAATTGAAAAATTCAAAAATCTAAAATCTAAAAATCAAAAAGTCAAAAACAGAGAAATCAAAATCGTAAAATGGGGACATTGAAGAATCGAAAAACTGAAAAATCTAGAAACTGAAAAATTCCAAAACTAAAATGGCGAAAAATTGGAAAATTGAAAAATCGAAACATCGAAAAACCGAGAAATCGAAGAATTGGAACATCGAAAGACTCATCGACGTTAATTAAAAATTGAAAAATTTATAATTGTTTAAAGAGATCAATAAACTGAAAAACCATAAATTTAAAAAACTGAAAAATTAAAACATCGAAAAATGGAAAAATTGAAAAATTGAGAAAAATCGAAAAATTAAAAAATCGAGATCACAAGAAATCGAAAAATTTTAAATTTAAAAACTGAAAAATTAAAATATCTATCGAAAAATTGAAAAATCAAAAACTTGAAAAATCAAGATATCGAAAATCCGAAATTTAAGAAATCGAATGATTGAAAAATACGCATTGGAAATACATAGGAAAAACAGAAAAATCAAAATTTAAAAATCGAAAAAATGAAAAACAGAAATTTCGAAGAACTGAAAACCCGAAAAATCGAGAAATCGAAAAATCTAAAATTGAAAAATTGAAAAATTAAAAATCGCAAATTTGAAAAATTCAAAAATCGAAAAATTGAAGAACCGCAAAACTGAAAAATCTAGAAATTAAAAAATTCCAAAACTAAAATGCCGAAAAATTAGAAAATCGAAAAATTAAAAAATCGAAACATTGAAAAACCGAGAAATCGAAAAATCGGAACACAAATAATTCAAAAACTGAAGTTAAACATTGAAAAAATTATAATTATTGAAACCAAAAATTCAAAAACCGAGAAATTGAACAATCAAAAACCTGAAATATCGAAAAATTTTAAAATGGTAGGAAAATGGAAGAATCGAACAGTCGAAAGTTTAACAAATCGAAAAATAGAAAAACTTAAGAATCGAAATATTGAAAAATCGAAACATCAAAAGATCGAGAAATTGAAAAACCAAGAAACCGAACAATCAAAACATCGAAATCTCGATAAATCAAAAAACTTAAAATTCCCAAAGTCGAAAACCGAGAAATCAAAATTGAAAGTCCACAATTTAAGGAATCGAAAAACTGAAAAATCTAGAAGTTAAAAAATTCCAAAACCAAAATGGCGAAAAATTGAAAAAATCTAAACATCAAAAGATCGAGAAATCGAAGTTAAAAATAGAAAAATTATATAAAAAAAATCGATAAACCGAAAAACCAAAAATTTAAAAAATTGAAAAATTGCAAAATCCAACACTTGAAAAATCGAAAAACTGAAAAATCGAGAAATCGAAAGTACAAAATTTAAGAAATCCGAGGATTGAAAAAAGGAAAATTGATAAATAAAAATAAAGGGTAGAATTGTTTAGAGAAATATTGATGTTACAAATAAACTCCGCCCTTCGGTCTGATTAGGCATGAAAAACTCGGGGTGGGTGGGTGGGGCTTAATCTTCGTGTTTTTCTTTAATATATAGAATTTTCTTTCAACAGGATAGTTAAACATATTGCCAGTTTCTTGTTGGGAAAAGGAGACTTCGTATGTTAAGAAAAAATGGACAAAATATATACCCCGCCCACCCACCCTTTCTCAATTGTGAAGAATGCTTTATTCATCTTGAGCTGAAGGGCGAAGTTTAGTTGCAAAATCCTCATTTCTCTACAAGAAATTGCCATATGAAATATGTTTTTAAAAGAATAGAATTTTCTAGAGAAAATAGGGCTTAATTTTTTTTTTTCCTTTATATACATAGTTTTCTTTCAACAATTTTTTGCCTCAAAGAACAGGAACAGAAGAAAAATTGATAAATTTCAAATTAAAAACTGACGGAACCAAAAATTGAAAAAAGTTAAATTGAAAAACAAGAAATGATAAAATCGAAACATTGAAACGAAAAACTGCAAATGGAAAAATTAAAAATTTAAACCTCAAAACTCGAAAAAATGAAGGAACAACAAAAATGAAAAATTGAAGAAAAAAATTCAAATCAAATAAGCTGCGGGAACGTTATTTACGCCACTGGTTTTTATTTTATAAAGATTATTATCAGAAAACAAAAATCGCAAAAAAAGATATTTTTTCAGAGAAGTGGGATTTATTTGGCTACACTTCAGGTAGTACTTGTGGTTTACCAATGGATGCATAGTTTTTAGAATTACACAGGAACATTAAAAAAAAGAATGAGTGACGCAATTTATTCTATCGATTATGTTAACAACCACTTAATCCATTTTCCCGAAAATTTGGCAATACAGTACTGCTGTTATCAGTACTACACTGCTTCTGTGCAAACTGATATACAGTCGTTGCAAAAATGTTGATAACGTTATCACCAAATTTTGTATTGGAAAAGCTCACTTGAAACAAACGCTTAGCACATTTTTTGACGCTTACTTTAATATTACATACATATCTTTATTGTGACTTATAAGGGTTATCATAAAAAAATTAAATTTGCTAAATCAAATGATTTTCGAAAAAGTGGACTTGTACTAAAGCGTGAGAGAAATTCTATCAAAATAACTTTGGACCAATTTTTTATTAATATTGTTATTATTATTGTAATACGTTGGTACAACTTGGTGAAATACTCTTAATCATATTGAAGACTTTCCAAATCAGTTTTAGCAGTCATATTGCATACAACTTTTGATATCAATGTATTTTTTTATTCTTTTTCTAAGTTATCAACTTTTTTATTTATTCTCATTTTCCACATCAATCTCTGTCGATATATGTTTATTATCAGCGCCAATATTTTTCTCCTCAACGTTTTAGAATTCCCTCATCGTTGATAATTTTTAATTGTTTATTATATGAATCTAATTATAATGCTCAAGATTAATGTTGATGCCACAGTTGCGGTAAATCCGTTGCGATGTGGTGTTCAATAATCGCAGTATTTGCCTTTTCAGCCACGATTCTAGTGCATCCAAGCACTGCAGTGAGTATCTACATCAATAAACATTTCAAAGTTAACAGTGATTTATTAATAGTTAATTTATTCGCCTGATTTGCAGTTCACTGTTGTATCTACAACTAGTAAATCGGATGGTTCTAACGAGTTAGACCAACTTGCTTCAAAAATCGAACAAATTGAACATAACATTCAAACTATACAAAAAGTTTCGGAAAACCAAAATCATGCAAGTGTCAAATCGCGTTTCCCGAAAAACTGTAAAGAAATTCAAACCAATGGTAATACCATTTCTGGCGTCTACACCGTCCAGCCAGAGTTTGCCCCAAAACCATTTCTGGTTCTCTGCAACATGGACAGCCACGGCGGTGGATGGACCTACTTCATGAACAGATTTAACGGCAACCAAGACTTTTTCCGACGCTGGAATGACTACAAGACTGGGTTTGGCAACCTCAACGACGAGTTTTGGTTAGGGTTAGACTATTTACATTTTCTGACAGGTCGGTACTTCTAAGCTTTTCGACTGAGGGTGTTGATTTTGGAAAATTGGTAGGTTACGAAGTTAATGAGCTGTTGATAGAGTTGGAGGACTGGGATTCGAAGAAAGTTTATGCTCGTTATGACGCTTTCAGCGTTGGTAATGAAGGCGAGGGTTATATAATGAGAATATTGGGAAACTATAGTGGTACTGCTGGAGAATCGTTGAGTTACCATGGCGGGATGAAATTTACCACGACTGACAGGGATAATGATCTGTGGAGAGATGGAAATTGTGCCGTTTATAGAAGTAGTTGAAGCTGCAGTAAAATTAATTGCTTTCATTGTATGTGGTACTGCTTTTAGGTGCTGGTTGGTGGTACAATAATTGTGTTGGAAGTCACTTAACTGGGAAATACATCAAGGAGAAAAGTAGTGCAGATGCGTATACTGTGATGTTTTGGAATACACTTCGTGGAGCCTATAATATTAAAGTGGCCAAGATGATGGTAAAACCCAAATAACAACACGTAAGATAACCTAATGTTATTTCCTCAAATAAAAAAAAAAACTTTTGTTAGGAAAAACGTTTTTTATTCTCCCCTAGTTTACAAAAACCAATACCTTTATGGCACTCACATGATAAAATCTACATACACTGGAGTGTTTTACTGTTTTGAAATTAGAGAATCAGTTTCTATATTGTTGATAAAATATCTGTTTCGGGTTTTGCCACCATCTGTCTTATCTTGAGGTTACGAAGTTCAAGGGTAATTAATTTTTACTTTTTTTTAGTATTGTAATTGAGTCCATCGGACGAATTGCCACTTTTATGTTTTCTCGACGTTTCATGACCCCTTCAGTACGAAAAAAGTAGTGTCCCGTTTGCGTCTGTCTGTCTATCTGTTAGAAATGTAATGTAGATGGTTAAATGCAAGCCACAATTTGGCTAATCATCCCCACCAACAATTTGATGACGTCATTGCAATGAACCGTATTTTAAAATGAGTTGAATGTTATACAAAAATATATTCCTATACTTGTAGTATATGAATCCGCTTTCAGTTTTTTCGCTTAACGTGCAAATTTTCGCAAAAACAATTGCACGGTATAATAACGTTATACATATTACTACCACGAGATATATGAGCTCGTCACTCAGTGGCTCAGTGACTCAGCAGCTTACTCGGCGAACCGGCGACATGCCGAACTTAACACTTTTCTTTTTTTTCTTACATTGGTAATGCGCTGAGACAACTTTTCTTTTGTGCTGTGACTAGTATTATCCATGTACGCTCCGCCCCTCTGTCTAACAAAGAATGAAAAATTCATCCCAACTTCGTATTTTTGTTTTTTAATATATAGAATTTTCTTTCAACAACAGGATAGTTAAACATATTGTCGGTTTCTTGTTGGAAAAAGGAGACTTCGTATATTAAGAAAAAATGGATAAAATATAAGCCCCGCCCACCCACCCCTTCTCAATTTTGAGAAATACTTTATCCATCGTGAATCGATGAAGTGAAAAACCAAAAATTAAAAAAAAATGGCAAAATCGAAAAATCGAGAAAAATCCAAAATTTAAGAAATCCAAGGATTGATGACAAGAAAATTAAAACATGGAAATAACGAAGAACTGAAAAACCGAATAATTTAAAATTAAAAAAATAATAAAACATCGAAAAATTGAAAAATTCAAAAATCAAATATTCGAAAAGTCGAAAACCGAGAAATCAAAATCGAAAATCCACAATTTAAGGAATCGAAAAATTGAAACATGGGGATACTAAGATTCGGAACACTGAACATGTACTAGAAATTGAAAAATTCAAAAATTAAAAATAAGGAAAAATCGAGAAATCGAAAATCCAAAATTTAAGAAATCCAAGGAATGAAAACATGAAAACTGAAAAATAGAAATATCGAAGAACTAAAAAACCGAAAAAATGTAAAATCATAAAAACTGAAAAATTAAAATATGGGAAAATTGAAAAATTCAAAAATCTAAAATCTAAAAATCAAAAAGTTAAAAACAAAGAAATCAAAATCGAAAAATGGGGACATTGAAGAATCGAAAAACTGAAAACTCTAGAAACTAAAACATTCCAAAACTAAAATGGCGAAAAATTGGAAAATTTAAAAATCGAAACATCGAAAAACCGAGAAATCCAAGAATTTAAAAAACTGAAAAATTAAAACATCGAAAAATGGAAAAATTCAAAAATTGAGAAAAATCCAAAAATTAAAAAATCGAGATCACCAGAAACATCAAAAAATCGTAAAATCGAAAAACCTAAAATTTAAAAAACTGAAAAATTAAAACATCGAAAATGGAAAAATTCTAAAATTGAGAAAAATCTAAAAACTAAAAAAATCGAGATCATAAGAAATCGAAACATCAAAAAATCGTAAAATCGAAAAACCTAAAATTTAAAAAACTGAAAAATTAAAATATGTATCGAAAAAATGAAAAATCTAAAAAAATTGAAAAATCGAAAAGTCGAAAAACCAAGATATCGAAAATCCAAAATTTAAGAAATCGAATGATTGAAAAATACGCATAGGAAATACATAGGAAAAACAGAAAAATCAAAATTTAAAAATCGAAAAAATGCAAAACAAATTTCGAAGAACTGACAACCCGAAAAATCGAGAAATCGAAAAATCTAAAATTGAAAAATTGAAAAATTAAAATATCGCAAAATTGAAAAATTCAAAAATCGAAAAATTGAAGAACGGTAAAACTGAAAAATCTAGAAATTAAAAAAATTCCAAAACTATAATGGCGAAAAATTAGAAAATCGAAAAATTAAAAAATCGAAACATTTTGAAAAGCCGAGGAATCGAAAAATCGGAACACAAATAATTCAAAAACTGAAACAGTGACAAATCGAAATATCAGAAGATCGAGAAATCGAAGTTAAAAATTGAAAAATTTATAATTACTGAAACCAAAAATTCAAAAACCGAAAATTTAAAAATGGTAGAAAAATGGAAGAATCGGACAGTCGAAAGTTTAAAAAATCGAAAAATAGAAAAACTTAAGAATCGAAATATGTATTGAAAAATCGAAACATCAAAAGATCGAGAAATTGAAAACTAAGAAACTGAACAACCAAAACATCGAAATCTCGATAAATCGAAAAATTGAAAATTCCCAAAGTCGGAAACCGAGAAATCAAAACCGAAAATCCACAATTTAAGCAATTGAAAAATTAAAAAATGGGAACACTGAAGAATCGAAAAACTAAAAAATATAGAAATTGAAAAATTCCAAAACTAAAATGTCGAAAAATTTGAAAACTGTAAAATTGAAACATCGAAAAATCGGAACATCAAAAAATTCAAAAACTGAATCAATGACAAATCGAAACATCAAAAGATCGAGAAATCTAAATTAAAAATTGAAAAACTATTAAAAAAATCGATAAACCGAAAAACGAAAAATTTGAAAATCTGAAAAATTAAAATATCGAGAAAAGAAAAATTCAAAAATTTTAAAAAAGGAGTAATCGGAAATCCAAAAATTAAGAAATGCAAGAAAACAGGAAAATTGAAAAATAGAAAATCGAGTAACTGAAAAACCGAAAAATCTAAAATTGAAAAACTGAAAAATTAAAATACCGAAAATTGAAAAATTCAAAAATCTAAAATTTAAAACAGATCAAAGATTACAAATCAAATCGAAACATCAAAAGATCAAGAAATCGAAGTTAAAAATAGAAAAATTTATGATTATTAAAAAAATCGATAAACCGAAAAACCAAAAATTTAAAAAACTGAAAAATCGAAAAATTCAAAACTTGAAAAATCGAAAAATTGAAAAATCGAGAAATCGAAAGTACAAAATTTAAGAAATCCGAGGATTGAAAAAAGGAAAATTGATAAATAAAAATACTCATCACAACTGAGATCGGAGCGAGTGGGTGGGGCTTAATCTTCGTGTTTTTTTTTAATATATAGAATTTTCTTTCAACAACAGGATAGTTAAACATATTGTCAATTTCTTGTTGGGAAAAGAAGACTTCGTATGTTAAGAAAAAATGGACAAAATATAAACCCCGCCCACCCACCCATTCTCAATTGTGAAGAATACTTTATTCATCGTGAATCGATAAAGTGAAAAACCAAAAATTAAAAAAAAGTGGCAAAATCTAAAAATGGAGAAAAATCCAGAATTTAAGAAATCCAAGGATTGATGACATGAAAATTGAAAAATGGAAATAACGAAGAACTGAAAAATTCAAAAATCAAAAATTCGAAAAGTCGAAAACCGAGAAATCAAAATCGAAAATCCACAATTTAAGGAATGGAACAATTGAAACATGGGGACACTGAAGATTCGGAACACTAAATATGTACTAGAAATTGAAAAATTCAAAATAAGGAAAAATCGAGAAATCGAAAATCCAAAATTTAAGAAATCCAAGGAATGAAAACAGGAAAATTGAAAAATAGAAATATCGAAAAACTAAAAAACCGAAAAATCTAAAATCAAAAAAACTGAAAAATTAAAATATCGAAAAATTCAAAAATTCAAAAATTGAAAATCCAAAAATCAAAAAGTTGAAAACAGAAATCAAAATAGAAAATCTACAATTTAAGGAATCGAAAAATTGGGACATTGAAGAATCGAAAAACTGAAAAATCTAGAAATTGAAAAATTCCAAAACTAAAATGGCGAAAAATTGGAAAATTGAAAAATCGAAACATCGAAAAACTCATCGACGTTAAAAATTGAAAAATTTATAATCATTTCAAAAGATCAATAATCCGAAAAACCATAAATTTAAAAAACTGAAAAATTAAAACATCGAAAAATGGAAAAATTCAAAAATTGAGAAAAACCGAAAAATTAAAAAATCGAAATCACAAGAAATCGAAACATCAAAAAATCGTAAAATCGAAAAACCTAAAATTAGTGTATCGAAAAATTGAACAATAAAAAAAATTGAAAAATCGAAAAGTCGAAAAACCAAGATTCGAAAATCCAAAATTTAAGAAATCGAATGATTGAAAAATACGCATTGGAAATACATAGGAAAAACAGAAAAATCAAAATTTAAAAATCGAAAAAATGAAAAACAGAAATTTCGAAGAACTTAAAACCCGAAAAATCGAGAAATCGAAAAATCTATAATTAAAAAATTGAAAAATTAAAATATCGCAAAATTGAAAAATTGAAAAATTCAAAAATTGAAGAACCGCAAAACTGAAAAATCTAGAAATTAAAAAATTCCAAAACTAAAATGGCGAAAAATTAGAAAATCGAAAAATTAAAAAATCGAAACAGTGACAAATCGAAACATCAAAAGATTGAGAAATTGAAGTTAAAAATTGAAAAATTTATAATTATTGAAACCAAAAATTCAAAAACCGAGAAACTGAACAATCAAAAACCTGAAATATCGAAAAATTTAAAAATGGTAGAAAAATGGAAGAATCGAAATATTGAAAAATCGAAACATCAAAAGATCGAGAAATTGAAAAACCAAGAAACTGAACAATCAAAACATCGAAATCTCGATAAATCGAAAAACTGAAAATTCCCACAGTCGAAAACCGAGAAATCAAAACCGAAAATCCACAGTTTAAGCAATTGAAAAATTAAAAAATGGAAACACTGAAGAATCGAAAAACTAAAAAATATAGAAATTGAAAAATTCCAGAACTAAAATGGCGAAAAATTTGAAAACTGAAATATTGAAAAATCGAAACATCAAAAGATCGAGCAATCGAAATTAAAAATTGAAAAACTATAAAAAAAATCGATAAACCGAAAAACGAAAAATTTAAAAATCTGAAAAATTAAAATATCGAAAAAACAAGAATTCAAAAATGTAAAAAAAGGAAAAATCGAGAAATCGGAAATCCAAAAATTAAGATCCAAGAAGACAGGAAAATTGAAAAATAGAAAATCGAATAACTGAAAAACCGAAAAATCTAAAATTAAAAAACTGAAAAATTAAAATACCGAAAAATTGAAAAATTCAAAAATCTAAAATTTAAAAAAGATTAAAGATTAAAGGTCAAATCGAAACATCAAAAGATCGAGAAATCGAAGTTAAAAATAGAAAAATTTATGATTATTAAAAAAAATCGATAAACCGACAAACCAAAAATTTAAAAAACTGAAAATTTGAAAAATCTAACACTTGAAAAATCCAAAAATTGAAAAATCGAGAAATAGAAAGTACAAATTTTAAGAAATCCGAGGATTGAAATTGATAAATAAAAAAAAAGGTTAGAATTTTTTAGAGAAATATTGATGTTACAAAGAACCTCCGCGCTTCGGTCTGATTAGGCATGAAAAACTCATCACAATTGAGATCGGAGCCGGTGGGTGGGGCTTAATCTTCGTGTTTTTTTTTAATATATAGAATTTTCTTTCAACAACAGGATAGGTAAACATATTGTCAGTTTCTTGTTGGGAAAAGGAGACTTCGTATGTTAAGAAAAAATGGACAAAATATGTAACCCGCCCACCCACCCTTTTTCAATTGTAATGAATGCTTTATTCATCGTGAGCTGAAGGGCGAGGTTTAGTTGCAAAATCCTCATTTCTCAACAAGAAATTGCCATATGAAATATGTTTATAACTGGATAGAATTTTCTAGAGAAAATGGGACTTAATTGTATTTTTTTCCTTTATATACATAGTTTTCTTTCAACAATTTTTTGTCTCAAAGAACAGGAGATATTATAATAAAAAACATAAAGTCAATCTATTATTCAATAATTTTGGACTGTACTCTCAGTGTAAGGCACGTAAAATAACTTGTACTTTCTCATTTTTAATTAAAATAATAATCTAATTTGATTTCCTCAAATAAAAAAACTTTTTACATAATAGGAAAAACGTTACTTTATTGTCCCTCGTAGTTCACAAAAACCAATCCCTTTCAGGCACATCTTTAGTAAAATTCATAAAAACTTTAGTGTTTTTCTATTTTAAAATTGTTGCTAAAATATCTGTTTATCATTTCTGGGTTTTGCCACCATCTATCATATCTTGAGGTTACTACGGGTGATTAATTTTTTCCATTTTTTAAAACTCCAGTCATCAACTGATAAAATTGTAGTTTTTTATCGTCAAGGAATGGTTTATTGTGTGTGCGATGACTGAGTTGAGGTGCGCATTTCTTACAATGAAACTTAATATGTGTTACCCCAATTTCGTGGTCGCAACGCTCCTTCCTTCTCCCGAAAGCGCGTAATATCAAATAAATCAGCAGCAGTGCACGCACAGCATCATTCATAAACGCTATTTTCGTCCAGATTTAAATAAGAAAATAAACCGAGCACAGCCTCACCAAAACCTCTTCGATTTCCAAAATTAACCGGCGCGAATTCCATCGGTATCGCCAAATTAAAATCTCATTTCCTCGGCCGTTTCGCGCCTCGGAAAACGCACTTTCCACCGCTTTTCTCTCTTTCTCACAAAATCGCGAGATCCGGTCAAAGTACAACCGATTAATAAATATTCACGACAAACAACTTTCCGTAAACAAGCATTTTCACGAAGGATAAACGCATCTCCTCCAGAGCCGGACTGGCTAAATTTATCACCGTTAATCGCCTTTAATAAAAAAAACAAATCCGAAGCGGCTTTTTTTAATAGGACTCCGCAGATATTTCCGTCCAATCCTTTACGTCAATCGTCCAAAATTAAAACGGAAACTTTATTATTAGCCGCCGTTTTTATTTGTATGTTTTCTACCTCGAAATAATTGCGGATGATTGTGATGCAAACGTGATGTATGTGATTCAAAAGCCTTGGTTACAACCTTGATGCTGTTGCAGTAGGAAGATTCAATGTTAAATCTAATTCGCACTGTTCACCTCCTGGTTTCCGTTCCAAAAGCCATGTCAACGTGCCATTTAAAAAAAGCCACCGTCATTTCATGGCGTAAATTCCCGCTGCATTTGCCGCGGAAATGCAACGCACTTAACGACCAATAAAACCGTGCCAATTCGCGTAATGTGAATGAACATGGGAGTTTAAATTAAAATCCTGGACGAAAATCGCGCACTTAGTACCGCTGCAGGGCCGGGCTTGCCGGAAAATTGATACATCGTACTTACAGCATTTTCGTATTCTGCATGGTGCGAATTCGCCAATCTTTCATCCTCGGTCGCAACTTCCGCTCCTCTGCTATTTATAACCTTGGCCCGTCGTTGCCCTGCCATTTTTTAATGAACGGATTTCGACAGCGCCAACACGCATTTTAATTGCACTGGCCGATGGCCATTTCGGTTTTAATAAATTCCTGCCCTCATCACTCACACCTGTCCGTGGCAGTTAAATCCGCCGCCCCCGTGCGTACATACATAATGCACGGCGTTAAAAGACTTATGCCGATCTCGTTTCGTTAAGAGCGCACGAAATCGAGCAATCTGCACCGGGATCCATCTTGGACTTGTGTGTTGATATTAAAGATTCTTGATAAATTTCTGGTTTATTTTAGCATGGATTAAAATAGAACGCCGCCCTTGCTTAAGAGCTGCTCGGAGAAGCTCAACCAGCGTAAAATGTGGCTGAAAATTTTCTGAAATCGACCGGTTCGACGTGCCGATGTGTTTACGCGACAGGAACGTGCCAAAACCAAGTTAAATTGGATCGGAAATGAATTATTGAGAGGGCTGGTTTGCGTGCAATCGACGCGATTTTTTTTCGATTTGTGTAATTAGCGGGGTTCTGGAACAATGTTTGCTTCTTTTTTCATTTCAAAAGTTGTAAAATAGAAAACATTGAAAAATTTAAACTTGAAAACTCGAAAAATTACAAATTGAATAATTTTCTGCAACCGACTAATTAGTCTTCGCAAACCCCTCGGTCCTAAAATGTTTTTGAAAACTTGTTTGTCCAGCCCCGTAGCTACGGGGGGGCAAGAGGGGGCTGAGCCCCCCCTAGCAGTTGTGGTTGCCCCCCCTGGAAGACTTATACATTATAAATTTCAAATTAGTAATAAAATTTCAATATAATGCCGATTGCCGAAGCATATTAACTGGCCCCACCCGCCCCACCTTTATTTTCGTACAGGGTATATTATTTGGCAATATCACCTTACCGTTGATGTTGACCGTATAAAAAAATGAACATGTCACATTTTATTCCATAGCCTACTATGTAGGTACTTGAGAAAAGTCAAAAATATTATATGGATTTTCTAAAAATTGAGCTTTTATTGAAATGGACAAAAAATAGACAAAAAATTCTGAGATGTAGATCTCGATGAGCTTAATCAAAAAACATAAGGTCTTGATGGTCCCAGACCAAGATTTTTCAAAAATTCGGTTCCAAAGTCGACATTTCAAAATTTCTGAAAAATTACATTTCTTTTGGCGGCTCTGGAAAAATTGTTCGAATTTTCGAAAAAATAAAACCAAAAAAAAACATTTGGAGATCGAAATCAATAAAAAGATCCCTTCTGCTAGTTTTCGAAAATGCGTGGGAAAAGTCAATTTTTTTTTATAGATTTTCAAAAATTGAGCTTTTGTTGAAATTGGCTGAAAATCTACAAAAAATTCTGAGATGTAGATCTCGACGAGTTTAGTCAAAAAACATAAGGTCTTGCTGCTATTCGGTTTCCAAGTTGAATTTTTAAAATTTCTCAAAAATTATACTCCTATTTCTTTTGACGATTTTAGAAAAATTTTACAAATTTTCGATCAAATAAAATCAAAAACAACATCTGAAGATTGAAATAAATAAAAGAATGACTTTTGGTAATTTTTGGAAATGCTAAGAAAAGTCAAAATTTATTTAGTGTTCAAAAATTGAGCTTTTGTTAGAGTTGACAAAAAATTCTGAAATATAGATCTCGATGAGCTTAATCGAAAAACATGTTCATGCTCCCGGAGCAAAATTTACGAAATATTGGGTTCTACCTAAAATTTCTAAAAAATCTCAAAAGTGACTTAAAAAAAAGTTATTTCTTTATGCGATTGTGGAAAAATTCGACGAAATATCAAAAAAATAAAACCAAAAATAACATCTGTAGATCGAAATCAATAAAGAGATCCCTTTTGCTAATTTTCGAAGATGCTTGGGAAAAGTCAAAAAATGTATATGGATTTTCAAAAATTGAGCTTTTGTTGAAATTAACAAAAAATCAACAAAAAATTCCGAGATGTAGATCTCGATGAGCTTAATCCAAAAACATAAGGTCTTGATGGTCCCAGACCAAGATTTTCGAAAAATTCGGTTTCAAAGTCGACATTTCAAAATTTCTCAAAAATTACATTTCTTTTGGCGGCTTTGGAAAAATTGTACAAATTTTCGAGAAAATAAAACCAAAAACAACATTTGGAGATCGAAATCGATAAAGAGATCCCTTTTGCTAATTTTCGAAAACGGTTGGGAAAAGTCATAAACATTTTATAGATTTTCAAAAATTTAGCTTTTGTTGAAGTTGACTAAAAATCCACAAAAAAATCTGATATGTTGATCTCGACGAGCTCAATCAAAAAACACAAGGTCTAGATGGTCCCAGATCAAGATTTTCGAAACATTCGGTTTCAAAGTTCAAAAATTACATTTCGTTTGGCGATTGCTGAAAAATTTTACGACTTTTCAACCAAATAAAACCAAAAACAACATCTGGAGATCGAAATCAATAAAGGAATCCCTTTTGGTAATCTCGAACGTGCTTGAAAAAAAGTCAAAAATTTGACACAGGTTCTCAAAAATTGCCATATTTCTCCCGTCGATTCTGGAAAAAAAGTTAGAATTTTCAAAAAAATTGAATCCAAAACGATTTCTGGAAATCGAGATGAACAAAGGAATCTCTTTTGGTAATTTTCGAAAATGCTTGGAAAAAGCCAAAAATTTTATATGGGTTTTCAAATATTGAACTTTCGTAAAAGTTGACAAAAAATTCTGAAATATTGATTTCGACGAGCTTAAAAAAACATGACAGGTTCAAGGTTTCGGATCAAAATTTTCGAAATACTCGGTTTCGAGCTGGAATTTTCAAAATTTCTCAAAAATTACCATATTTCTTTTGGCGATTATGGAAAAATTGTACGAATTTTCGAAAAAACAACCAAAAACAACATCTGGAGATCGAAATCAATAAAGGAATCCCTTTTGGTAATTTCGAATGTGCTTGAAAAAAGTCAAAAATTTGATACAGGTTCTCAAAAATTGCCATTTTTCTTCCGTCGATTCTGGAAAAAATGTAAGAATTTTCAAAAAAATTGAATCCAAAACGATTTTTGGAAGAAATCGAGATGAACAAAGGAATTCTTTTGGTAATTTTCGAAAATGCTTGGGAAAAGTCAAAAATTTTATATGGGTTTCCAAAAATTGAGCTTTTGTTAAAGTTGACAAAAAATTCTGAAATACACATCTCGACGAGTTTAAAAAAACATGACGAGTTCATGGTTCCGTACCAAAATTTTCGAAATATTTGGTTTCGAAGTCGGATTTTTAAAATATGTACTAAACATGCAAAAAAATAAACTCAAACAAATTGGATGTAACCTATATGGTCACTACACAAATTTTTGGATGCAGTACAGCTGTTTGTGAATCTACATTCTCTGTTTTAACCAGCATTTTAACCAAGTACCGTACTAATTTTTTGGACTTCGACAGGTTTTTACGAAAATTTAGCGTAAAAAATCGACGTTTCCAATTATTTTAATGTTCTTTCAAATATAAAAACTCAGAAAAAATAAAGTAGTTATCTGAGTGTATTATTAAAATATAAATATTTACATGAAGCCCCCTCTGTCGACAAACTTGCCCCCCCTGAATAAGTTTTCTAGCTACGGGGCTGTGTTTGTCGTTATTTTTCCGCAGCTATCAATTCCAACCCAACATCCCTCTATCAGAATCAACACAACTTCTGCCACCCACACAAAAAGTTTAAAAACTGTTTGTACAAAAACAACAAATACACCAGTTTTCATCATTACCGAGTTTTGTTTTGTTGGACTTTTTTTTGCACAAATATTTGTCGACAAACTCGTCGAAAGTTTAACATAAACTGCAGACATAACTGGAAATTAAACAAACAAACTTTGGCTCAAATATTGTTCGAGACTTTTTTATTATAACGGGGAAAACAAAACGAAATTATCGAATAAATTTACTTTAATTTTATTTATTAGAAAAATACTGGTTTGCGTGGAGCACAACCGAGCCGACGCACGTGAATTGTGAGTTGCATACCCTAGGGGCTAAAATGTGGATCTTTTTTAGCTCGGTTGTAAAAAAAGCAGCAGCTATGAACTTCCTCGGCTCCAGTCGAGCGTTCCAGGGTTCAGGGTTCCCTTTAAGCTGATGAAGTTGAAATCCTCGGGCGAGTTTAAACAAATACCACGCTTAAACTTTGAACCTCGAGTTATTGTAGGCTAATTCATGCAAAGCGTTGTTGTTGTAGCGAGGAAGTTGAAGAGTCTTCGAGTTTATTGAATGCGGGGATTCAATCACAATGAGACGATTTTAATGAAAGTGATTTATTATTTCATGATTCATGTTTACTTAATCACATTACACAATTGTCCCTCTAAACAAAAAATCTTCTTAGAAGAAAGAGAACAGAAAAATAAACAGATAAGTATACACTTGAAAGTCGATTTGTTTTCATTTTTAATAATTCACTAATACAAAAACAGTTTCAATTTGTTATTATTTACTTTCATAATAATAAAATTTAATTATAATCACATTTTCTTGTTGTTATGAAGACTTTTTAATTCACTTGGGTATCATACATGCAACAAACTTTCCTTCCGGTTAACGTACACAAAAATAAATAAGGAGATTTATTTCCACGGCGGTGAAACTGTACAAAGCTGGAGTAATCGATGGAATGAAATCAAAAGCGAGGCTTATAATGGGCACAAAATAATATTTACAACTAGTGAGACTCGGTAAATTAAATAGAGATTGCACCCGATTTGATTGCGGTTGTAAAATAAGGGCCGGATACGAAACGCTACGGCGGGGAAGAATCAGCAGAGGACTTGGAATTTGCGCCTTTAACAAAGCGGAGCCCTAGGACTTTTTTACAAGAAAAAATGTACGTTCCTGTGGGGCGATTACTATTGGAATAGTCGCGAAGACGTCGACCGTCCTAGGAATTTTTGTACGATCAGTTCTGGAGTAAAGACGTTTATTAAATAAAGTTTTGCGTAGATTTTCGGGAGGACGTTCGGAATTTCGTGCTCTGCTGATTTTTCTTGTGGCCCTCAGGTCTGGCAAAGTTATATGCACATATGCGTTCCCAAGCACCCTATCATCACATATGCTTATGTTTCCACTATATTACACGGTGTTGTCTACCATATACAATATTTGTTTGTAATATAATAATAATATAATTTAACATTTTTTGCTATAGACTCCGAAGACGGACCTGCACGTTTCGAACGCCTGGGTGAGATCTGTATGCAGGTCCGGGCTCGGAATGTGATGTGTGATTATATTTCAGTTGGAGCTATTTTGACGACGGCTGACTATAAGATGAACACTTTTAGCATAACGGAAACTAGTTGGAACAAGTCTTCCATCTTGCACTTGAATATCCCAATTGATTCAATAAACAATATTTAAAAACAGAACAATGTTCTAGCGTCGAAATATCGCGGCGTCTACTCGGGCCAAATATTCTTCTTTTGATTCATTCTTAATTATCATTGGATGTACACAGTACATATCTTGCAATACTTGGCTCGATATTCCAACATCGAAGGGATATCAGAGTCCTAACACTCAGACCACATCGAGAAGTGTCCTTTCACTAACGTCCGTCCGTTGATCCAACAGAATCGAAGTCGCAACATATAATTTAAATGAGTACTCGTAGTTTCGAATCTCCCTCCCATGGAATCGCTTCACCTCAATTTCTACTACAATTTCACAAAGTCACCTAGAGGTCGTCACGTGAGGTCAGACACTGGGCTTGGGTCTGCCCTGCTGGTCGCCGGAGGTCCGTCTGGGGCGCGTGGGAACGATCACCACCGGTAACGTCTGCGGGGGCGGCGTCACCACCCCCGCGCTCCCCTTTTTCCCCCCCGTGAAAATTTTAACAGTCCTATGTAAAAAATCAGTCTTTTGTCCGCTGCTTCCAGCTTCTGGCCGTTTGTTGGATGAGGAGGAGGTCGACGACGACATCGAGTGGCAGCGCACGACCAGAGGCGCGCCGCCCCCGCCCGACCAGTCGCCGCCGCCGCCGCCGCTGCTACTGCTGCTGCTGCTCGACGAGCCGAGCAGGCCGGCCGAGCTCGACCGGTACGGGGGCGGGGACTCCGACTCCAGCACGGTGCGGTTCGGCGGCGGTCGGATGCATTTTTGGTGGATCTCGGACTCCTGAAAACACACGACCGGTTAGAGCCTGAAAAGCGGCGCCAATCCCACCGACTGCGCCATTTCCGCAACGCACCTGCTCGGGGTCCCGTATGTGCAGTCTGGAACTGGTAAAGGGGTGCTCCTCGCCGTCCGGCATGGCTATGTTGGGCGGCAGGTTGATGGCTATGTCTGTGTGTACGGCGTGCAGTCTCACTTGGCGGTCCCTCGTCGCCGCCAGTTCTCTGGCCGCTCTTCCGCCTCGCAGACGGTCCATGCCGCCCACCCCCGCCGCGGCGCCGGCGCTCACAACCGACAGCATCTGGAACAATCAGGGACACTCTTAGAAAAAAATTCTAGCACGAGGATGACGGATACGGGGAATAATGACACTTGCGCAAGGACGGCGCGTCCTTGGGCGCGGATCGGCGTCTCGTTCCTCCTGCCTAAATTATTCCAAATACTCGACACCCACGTCTACAGTTTTTACTCCCTCTAACGCACAAAAACGTGCACACGTACGAACTCTAGCCGTCTCTTTCAAGACTAACCACTCGAAAAAAAAATAGTAAGGGGGAGGTCGGCGAACTCGGCAGAGTTATTAGGTGCGAACAAATTCATAAATTTACAACGAAATAGACGTGCACGGACGCTCGCTTCCATTATTGCTTATTAAATAATCTTACTTAAAAATTAATTGTAAACAATGAACAACAGACAGCCTGAAGTACGGTTTATCACAGCTAGTTATAATTGGTTGATGAAATATTTAAAGAAACAAATTTATAAATTTTAGTTGAAACCAATGAAATAATAACCATTTCTGGCATTCTTTTGACATATTAATTTTAATATTCAAGATAATTATTATATTATTCAAACACAATTTAGACACTGTAGAGCAAACAAGGCTTATCAAGCACGTCTATTAGTTTATTCGCCTAAATGTATTATTAATACCGTTTTCAAATTACACCAAAATTGAAAAATCGAAAACTTAATAATTGAAAAATCTATAAATCGAGAAATTGAACAATCTAAAAATTGAAGAATTGGAAAACCAAAAAATCTAAACCGAGAACTTGAAAAATCGAATAATCGAGAAATCACAACATCAAGGAAAACAATAAAATTAACGGAAAATCTAGAACTTAAAAATTGAAAAATTAAAATACCTATCAAAAAATGGAAAAACTGAAAAACCGAAACATTGCAAAATCTCAGAACTGAAATACTGAAAAACTGAAAAATGGAAGGAAAAATGAAGAATCGGAAAAGTGAAAAAATCCAAAACTGAAACATTGAAAAATCCAGAAATCGAAAAATTGAAAAATCACAATTGAAGAAAGAATTGAAAAATCAAGAAATAGAGAACTGGGAAAATCAAAAAATCAGTTAATCGAAAAATTTAGAAACGTCAAAAATTGAAAACTGAAAATTTAACAAAAAAAATCGTATCAAAAACTAAAAATTCAAAAAATCGAGAAATTGAACAATCAAAAAATCAAAACATTGAAATTCCAGTAAGTTGATAAATAGGTAAATTTAAAAAACAAAAATTTTAAAAATCCAAGAATTGAACAACAAAAAAAATGTAAGCCTGAAACTCAGAAAATTGAATGATCGAGAACAAAAAATCTAAAATTTAAAAATTCGACAAACTGAAAAATCATGGAACTGAAAAATCGAAAAGTCGAGATAGTGAGAAATCTAAAAACCTAAAACTTTAAAAACTGAAAAATTAAAATATCGAAAAATATAAAACCGAGAAAACACAATATCAAAAATTTAAAAAATTGAAGAAACGAAATATTGCAAAATTCCAAAGCTGAAATATTGAAAAACCAAAAAATGGAAGGAAAATTAAAGAATCGAAACAGTGAAAAAATCCCAAACTGAAACATTGAAAAATTGAGAAATCGAAAAATTAAAAAATCACAATTGAAGAAAGAATTGAAAAATCAAGAAATAGAGAAATGGGAAAATCAAAAAATCAGTTAATCGAAAAATTTAGAAACGTCAAAAATTGAAAACTGAAAAATAAAAAAAATTAAAAATCGTAAAACTGAAATATCGGAAAGTTAATAAATTGAAAAACTGAAAATTTTTGAAAAAAAAAAACGTATCAAAAACTAAAAATTGAAAAAATCGAGAAATTGAACAATCAAAAAATCAAGACATTGAAATCCCAGTAAGTTGATAAATAGGAAAATTTAACAAACAAAAATTTTAAAAATCCAAGAATTGAACAACAAAAAAAATGTAAGCCTGAAACTCAGAAAATTGAATGATCGAGAACAAAAAATCTAAAATTTAAAAACTCGACAAATTGAAAAATCATGGAACTGAAAAATCGAAAAGTCGAGATAGTGAGAAATCTAAAAACCAAAAACCTTAAAAACTGAAAAATTAAAATATCGAAAAATTTAAAACCGAGAAAACACAATATCAAAAATTTAAAAAATTGAAGAAACGAAATATTGCAAAATTCCAAAGCTGAAATATTGAAAAACCTAAAAATGGAAGGAAAATTAAAGAATCGAAACAGCGAAAAAATCCCAAACTGCAACATTGAAAAATTGAGAAATGGAAAAATTGGTCTAAAGAGTTTAGACAGTACTTCCCTCGCTATCGGAAACGTGACGACTGCATGCCTATTATGTTTTTTTCACATTAGATTTCAAAGCATTCGGTTTTGTAGTTCCTGATTAAATCAATAAAATAAATTCGCGCATTCATTAAATTTTTTGAGTCACCCTGTATATCCGAATCCAAAAAGTATGAACGGAATGATAAATTACAAGAAGAGACTCATCATATTTTGTAAACTTTAAATAGGCAATATAATAAATTTCCGCATTCATTAATTTTTGGGGTCATCCTGTATATGCAAATCCAAAAAACATGAATGGAATGATAAATCACAAGAAGAGACTCATCATATTTTATACAATTTAGATACGATTTATTCAGCAAAATTTTGAGGTGACGTCCTCAATTTTTTAGAGGGGATAAGTAAATATATTGTGATCAAAACGGTCTTGGTTTAATAACAAAAAAATATTGTTCGTCTATAAAACAAGCTTGTCTTAGACAAAGTATTCGTAAAAAATATGTCGTAAAAAAATTTACGTATGCTGGTCTGGACTGCGCTTATGGTTTAAATATTTTTTAGAAAATCCTGTCATGGATGTAGAAACATTTGTGACAGCCAAAGGGGTTTTTTTGAGAAAATTATCTTTGAATTTAGACCAAATTGAAATAGACGCTAGGCAACAGGCACATTTGGGCAAAAGAAAGAGAAATTAGGGTTACGGTTTCAAATTTTGGACGTATTTACAAACTTAGACCGACTACAGCAATAGCTAAAACTGTGGAGTCTCTGTTGTACAGTACATTTAGAGGTAACAGTCATACATACTACGGACAGCAAAGTGAGGAAAAAGCTGTCAAATGTTTTGAAATAAATAAAAATATAATCTATCTTGGCAAGCACTGGGCCCGCCCTCCCGTTTTTTCACAGGATGTCATTTGCCAAAATAAGACTTCTGTTAGCAAGTACTAGCCCCGCCCTCCCGCCTTTTAAAAAACAAAGGGCGGGTGGGCGGGGCTAGTACTTGCTAAGACAAGACTGATTTGGGCAAATGCCATACTCCCTGAGAAAATAGAGGGTGGGTGGGCGGGGCTAGCACTAACATTCGCTCCGCCAACCCACCTTTTATTTCCTTAGAGAATAGGTCAATTGCCAAAATACTAGCCCCAGCCCCCTTTTTCTTAGAGGGTATCTCATTTGCCAAAATCAGTCTCATCTTAGCAGCTACTAGCCCCGCCCACCCACCCTCTCTTTTCTTGGAAGGTATCTCATTTGCCAAATCAGTCTTATCTTAGCAAGGACTTTCCCCGCCCACCCACCCTCTCTTTTTTTTAGAGGGTATATCATTTACCAAAATCAGTTTTATCTTAGCAGGTACTAGCCCCTCCCACCCACCCTCTCTTTTCTTGGAAGGTATCTGATTTGCCAAAATCAGTCTTATCTTAGCAAGTACTAGCCCCGCCCACCCACCCTCTCTTTTCTGGAAGAGTATGTCATTTGGCAAAATCAGTTTTATCTTAGCAAGTAGTAGCTTTATTTCTTTAAATTTGTATTAATAAAATTTTTCAGTTTTTTGATTTTCCAGTTTCTCAATTTTTCGATTTTTCAATTTTGCTTTGGCGCTTTATTGCCCGAAATAATTGATTCAAGAAGAAAGAGGACCTGCCTTTGCGAGAGATTTTTTTTAAATAAATAAAATTTGTTAGGAGTACATTTTTCATCACCAAGACTTGCATATTTTTATCATAAATATATTTTGAAAATGATCTCTCGGCAAATGAAAACATATACGAGCACCTTTTCCGAGTAAACAATGCAGGGAGAAGTTACAGGGCGTAGGGCTTTTTTAAAACACCTTTCTGGGATAAGTAGTAGATACACTTAGCTACTTATACGTGTTAAACAAAAGCTGTATTTTATATATTTTTTATTATTATTATAAATATGTTTATTAGTTTTATTAATTAAGAAAGCAAAATATATATTAACAATAATATTACAATGAATTTTTAGTAATCATGTGTGTTGAATTCAGGATCCTGAGTGGAGTAAAAATATTATAGTTCCCCAGTTTTAATTCGGTTTTATGATAGTACCTCATTGCGTAAAAGTTAATTTCTTTAACAATAGATTACTACGGCCGGTCTTGGCGGTTTGTTATAAAACTGAGTTCCTTGCCATAAATTAGAAAAATCAGCCGAGAGCTCTAACAATCAGCTTTAGTGGCGCTCCTATCGGCAAAGTACTGAACTAACTGCTCAAATTCTGACGAATTGATACCCATTTTTTTCAATAATTGTTAGTTTTTATTAAAAACTCTGCTAACCAATAGATCATTAATTTTCCTCTGATATTCCTGTTAAAATTATTCGAGGCATTTTGCATTAATTTGTGGTATATTTTGATTTTAATAAACACATTATTATTTAAACAAATTGTACCACTAACAAACATTTAATGACTCTGCGCCCTGTAAAAAGTGAAGTTTTATCCATGTGCGAATTTTCAAGCGATTCTATGATGGTTATGACTCAAAAAACTTGAAAAGAAAACATACAATGGTGCTTTTTTACGATATTTCTCAGTTGATTGAACTGAAAAATCTAAAATCTACATTTCTAATTACTCAATATATCTAATTCCAAAAAGAATTTAAGAAGAATATTCGTGGAGAACCAGATACACAAGTTACTCCAAAAAATTCAAGAATCATCATCAACTCTTGGATG